TCCTGTTAGTCGGCCCGAGACGTCGGATCTTGGGGCAGTGGGGCGCGCAGCGCGGCCGCCCCGCCCCAGTCCGCCCACCACACCATCACCACCATCACCAGCGACACCATCCGCCGCGTTGGGTGCCATGGGTCCTCCCCCAATGCCTCCGTCGGGAGATGCAAACGGATCCCAGCTATCGTCTCCCGCCGACCGTGGTGCGAGGCGGGCCGCACCTTGGCCTCTGTCGCCCACGGACCACGGGAGTCCCAGATACCCTCCCAGAGTACGGTCAGACTCGGCTGAAACCGTGCACCACAAGGCTCAGCATTCGAGCTCAAGAATAGAAGCGGAATCTTGACTCTAAAATAATGATCATTGAGCCTCTGATATGCCCACTGACGTGAGCTCATAGCAAGATGGCAGCCGCATGACGTCACCATCCATTTTGCAATGGAACTTAAGAGGTTTTAAAGCCAACTTCACCGACCTCCAGAGGTGAGCACTGTCGCCCACGGTGATGTCGCCGTTCTGGTGCACCATGGAGTACCTTGTTCGAGCATGCCCCTGCAAACATGTGTTCAAGCGATAGCGAAGAGTGGATCTCGGCTTGCTGTCTGTGACTGTATGCTCCTTGTATTTACCGCCAGCAGGGGAGCTTGGCATCCCAACGCAATGCAGGCACTGTTTGATCAGCTACCGACACCCTACCTTGTGGTTGGTGATTTTAACTCACATAGGCGGTTATGGGGCGGGGATCACGAATAGCAGACATCCTCCACAGAAACAGCCCATGCGTGCTAAACACAGGTCGCCACATCCACATAACACTACTGTCTGGCAGTATCTCCGCCATCGACCTCTCGGCACTCGTCTTTCGTGGGACGTGAACGACTGCCCAAAACGGGAGTGGCCACTTCTCTATCTGGCTCAAGTTGAGGGCACCCCGACCGGGACTCCAGCCGACCCGAAGGAACCTTCGGAGGGCTGACTGAGAGCAGTTTGCCACTGAGCGCAGTGTGGTTATCGCACCAAGGCAGGAAGAAGCGGCAACTACTGTGATGGACGAGGCAAACACCGCTATTTTAGAAGCTGCCAGGACATCGATCCTGGTCACGTCTCCGAAGCCACGACGCATTCTAGTGCCGTGGTGGACGGAGGGCTGCCGGGCTGTCATCCAAGCTGAGAAGCGGGCCTTTAGGCGTTGTAATCGCTGCTCCACGCTGGCCAAACTCATTGGTTTCAAGCGTCCGAGAGCGCGGACGCGGCGCGTTGTACGTGAAGACAAGCGGGCTTCATGGCAGGCGAATATTAGTGGCATTGACCGTTTTACACCACTATCGCAAGTTTGGAAGCGCATCAAACGCATTTCTGGTAAATGTTCACCGACACCCGTACCTGTACTGAGTGCCGGGGGCACCACGGTGATCAACACTGCTGCGGTATGCAGCACATTGGGGCGCGCGTTCTCAAGGCGGCCCGAACTAGGTTCTCAGGACCCCGCATTTATGCGGCACAAGACACTGAGTGAGCGTTATCCGGTGAACTTCCACTCTTTTAACACCGAGACTTACGACGTGAGCTTTTCAGTGTTTGAACTCACGACGGCCAATGCCAGTACCAGAAGCGCAGTACAAGACCCTGATCAAATCACCAACGGCATGCTTCAACACCTAAAAAGGCAATCTCTTTCATCATTGCTAGGCGCCTTCAACTACATCTGGGACACCGACGCCTTTCCGCCACAATGGAGTGAATTTGTCCTCATTCCAATTCTCAAACCCAATAAGGACAGATCAGATCCACGGTACTACAGACCAATGTCACTAACGTCTTGCGTCTGTGAGGTCTTTGAAAAGATGATTGGTGCGAGACTGATGTGGTTTTTAGAGACTGAGGGTCTGTTGACCAACTCACCATGTGGTTTTTTGGAAAAATCGATGTACCCTGCGCCATCCAGTTGTGTTAGACACCACAGTCCAGAAGGCTTTCAGACAGAAGCAGCACGTTGTAGCAACATTCTTCTATATCAAATCCGCCTTTGGTACCACCTGGCGTTACAGCATTCTCTCGAAACTTCACAAAAGCGGTGTCTGCGGGCACATGGGCTCTTATTTAGCAAACTGTCTTCGCCACCCGCACATTCGTTGTTTGTGGACGATTTTGCCATTTGGGTTACGGCATCCACCACGGCATCAACAACGCGTGAACTCCAGCTCTGTGTGGATAAAGTCACCCGATGGAGCTCCATCAACAGTTTTACACCATCAGCGACAAAAGCAGTGTGCATGCACTTCTACAACAAAAAAGAAAACGTTGCAGTGATCCACAGGTGAGCTTCTATGGTAGCACTATCCTGATGGTCGATAGCTTTAAGTTTTTGGGTCTGGTTTTGGATCGCCGTCTTTCCTATGTAGATCACTTGAGGCATCTCCGCACTAGGCGTTTTAAAGCCCCAGACATCCTTAAGGTGGTCTTACGTATGGCGTATGGGGGAGACCGCAAAGCCTTGGTCATGCCGTGTCGCCCACTGATTAGGTCCAAACTCGACTATGCATGCACAGTCTGCGACTCGGTCCGCGAATCCAGCAAGAAGATGCTGAACAGCGTGCATCATCAAAGAATACGCATTGCTACCGGCGCTTTCCGCACGTCACCCACGACAAGCCTGCTCGTAGATGCCAACGAACGACCACTGGACCTGAGGCGCCGCTATTTAGCCATGAGGTACGTGATCAGGATATACCAGTTTCGTATGCACCCAACATACAACACGATCTTCTTCGCAGATCTGGTGAGTTCCTCTCCTCAAGGAAGGGTGGGGAAAACAAGACCACTGCGTGCGTGTAGGTGAATGGCTCTGCGCTGCCGAAGTAGACGTGCACCAAATACAGCATCGCGTTCTTTCATCCGCAGAACCATGGCTAGCTAGCCTTACCTCCCACGTGTGACACATCACTCACCAGGTTCTCCAAGAGTCTGGCGCACGCTGCTGAGCTGAGAAAGGAATTTCAAAACCTCATGTACACAACGTGCAGATGGTCAGCACACCTCTACACGGGTGAATACAAAACGAACCTGGGTACTGGATGCGCATTCGTGTCGTCGCGAGACTCTGAACGGATTGGATTACCGTCATTGGAGTCTGTTTTTACAGCCGAAATTCTCGCCATCCTGAACCGTCTGGACTGCATTTTACGACATATCCTACCGTCGTCCACAGTATTTACTGACTCGCTCAGCTCGGTTTTGAGGATCCAAAACATGTCGACAACATACACATATCAAGTGCGGCTTATCGTAAGTACACTTTCCAGCCCGCGGCAGAGAGGCCAGCAGATAGCCCTGGTTTGGATCGCCAGCCGCATTGGCATGGCTGGAGACGGGTCGGCTGACCAGGCTGCGAAAGCAGCCAACCTACTGCCGCCCAGCGGCGTTGTGCGAGTTCCTACGAGTGACCTGCGCGCGCCAATAAAACTCTGCGTTACAGCAGAATGGCAGACAAGGTGGGATCAGGAGAGCAGCCAGAATAAGCTCAAATCCATTACACTTGGGTAGGTCACTGGTCGTCCGCACTTCGTAAGTCGAGGAAAGAAGAAGTTATATTGACTCGCCTGCGTACTGGCCGTAGCTAAAGCACACACTAATTCCGACTGAGCGACGCAGCAGTCGCTCCCACATGTGATATGTGCGGCGAGGTCCTCACTGGCAGGCTGCGCTGGTAGTTGCTGAGGCTGCACATCTAGTTGCTGAGAGGCAAATTTCTTTGGACGTTAAGTTACTCTGACTTCACGTGTAGGTGAACATCCAGAGATCGACCTACGCGACGTGGTACTGTTCCTGATTGCTGTTGGAATCCACGTAATATACTCAACTCAATAGCACTAAAAAATTGCTGTGTAATTAAAATGTGAGGAGAGTGCAAAATGGTCTCAGTAGCCGACAGGCTCCATTTTAATGCGAGTCATCGGTCGCATGGAGGCCCAAAGTCGCCAAGTTCTGTTGCGCTTTGCGTCAAAAACTGTGCCTGTTTGGCCAGCTATGGGCCCCTTCGGGCCCAAGGGGAGTCATGGCTCCGTGTCCCCTTGGATCCACCCCTGTCAAAAACGCCTCAAACCAAAATTGGCTGTAGGCAGCTCCATGCCCTGAGCCCATGGGATCGATGAGCACGAAACCTTCACCAATCGGTACGACGGAACAGACTCGGAGCACAGGGTTGTCTGCAACCACATTTTTCCCGGTTTTTGGAATTTTGGTGACCTTGATCTGACCCGAGGTCACCACATTCTGGAATGCGCAGGACGGCGGCCATGGCACATCGATTGGTGAAGATTGCATGCTGATCGGTTCCAGAGGCTTGGAGCGTGGGGTTCTCTGCAGTAATTTTTGGTTGTTTTGGGGCATTTTTTGTGACGTTTGATCTGACCTAATTGGCAATCATAATCTGGGAAGGATGGGATATTGACTTATCTATGTACCATGTACTGTTATCCAAGGTTATCCATGTACTGAAAAGGATAAGATATAAACTATGGTGCATGGATTAGTGAAGGTTTCATGCTGACCATTGCCATAGGTTTGGAGCGTGGGGTTGGCTGTAACCAATGGTGGTGATTTTAAGCGTGTTTGGTTACATTCGACCTGGCGCGAGGTCACCATGTTCTGGAAAAAACAGAATATCGTTTATGTCGCATCGATTGGGGAAGGCTTCACGCTGATCGGTGCCATAGACTCAGGAATATGGGTTGTCTGCAACCGTTTTCCGGTTTGTGACATTTTTGTGACCTCTGACTTAACCCAATGATGCCGTGTTCTGGAGTGGCTAGGTTATTGACCAAGTGGCATTAAATGGTGGAGGTTTGGTGTCGATCATGGCCATGGGATCGAAGTATGGGGTTGTCAACGAGTTTAGTCGGCCGTTTAGGCCGTTAGATAGCCTTAGTTTAGGCAATATCTTTGCGATAGACGGACTCGAGTTCATTGACCCTATCGCGTTTTGTTCCACTGCGGCCGCAATCACGCGGTGGTGGCGCGTAGGTAGGTGGTGCTAATCGAGCTCTCGTCAGCAGCGGTCCAAGCCGTCTCGGGCAGGTTCGGATAGGTCCTGAGGAATAGGTACCTGCTTTGACTTTGTTGCCCCGGATGGATTTTACGCGCATCGGCGCAAGTGAGAGTCGTCAGGTTGAGAATGCGCCGCGCTATCGTGGTGATTGTGTGCGAAGGGTGAGGTCTACCTGCTTGTGAGTGAGGTGCAACTTTGCGTCTTAGGTATATGCATGTGGAATGTGCCTATCAGCCAATACCATGCTTGACAGCAAGTATGTCAGCATATACCTTTTTGTATGTATTGGTCCTTAAAATTCCCATGCAGACAGGCCAGGGGCAAAATTTTGGTGTCACCAGCATAGGCCTTTTACTTATTAAATGTTCTGAATTAGCTGAATCTAGTGTTATATCAGCACAGTATTAGTATGAGTGGATGCAGATATTTTGGTTCTAGTACATTCATTCAGTTTTTTGTGTCTACTCCATGTAAAATTTGTTTTAGGTACATTAGGTTGGGCTAAGCCAGGCTAGGCTAGGCCAGGCTAGGCTAGGCCAGGTTAGGCTAGGCTAGGCCAGGCTAGGCTAGGCCAGGCTAGGCTAGGCTAGGCTAGGCTAGGCTAGGCTAGGCTAGGCTAGGCTAGGCTAGGCTAGGCTAGGCTAGGCTAGGCTAGGCTAGGCTAGGCTAGGCTAGACCACACTAGGTTATGTTAGGTTGGGCTACATTAGGCTAGGTCAGGTTAGGTTAGATTTGTGTTACTCCTCTTCCAAAAAGGCAATTTTCATTGAGGAATTGCAGGTGGATTATAACTTCATAGCAATGGCACCAGCAGGTTGGCAGTGTTAAGTCCTGGGATCGCTTGAATGTAATCTATAGTAATTATTAAATGTTGAATTTTGAAGGTAGGCATGTAGCTGTACCTGTTGCATGGTTACCTACAACACTTTGTGCCATAAAGCAGATGATTTATGTACAGTGCTCTTTAGTAACATAGGTATCTGTGTCTACTTGTGTTTGTGTACCTATGTCTACCTACCATCTGTCTACTTGTGTTTCTGTCTACCTAGCTACCTGTCTACCATTGGCTGTACATGCCCAATTTCATGTTTCAGGTAGCTGAAAGGATTAGCAAACTGCGATTTAAGTAAATAACAAGACACCTGACAATGGCAAGGTAAGGGTCGGTGGGGATGCAGATGACAGAATCTCACTGCCAAGGGGAATATCTTACGTCTCATGCAGTGGCTGTATGACTGTGTGATTTTGAGGGTTGGCACCACTACCAGCATTTCTCTTCTGACTCAAAACCAACTTTTAGTTGCCTCCCATTTTCTCCTAATGACATCGTGCCACATTCTTGGCATATTGCTCTCAGCCATCCCACATGTCTTGTCCAGCTGGTGGCTGCCACATGGGCAGCCATGGGCAGTCTGGACCTACCTGCTGTTGCCTGGACTTGAGATTTGGAAAGTGCAGAGCAATGTGCTATTGATGGCAGATGCAGGGTGAACCATCCTGTTAGCTCTCCAATGTGGAAGATTGTTTCCTTACAGTGCCCGTCGTAACAACCGCATTAACGATAAGTCTGAATGGCAGCGAGGGCTTCTGCCTGGGGGAGCACACCCTGAAAGTGCCACTGGAGCTGCACCGGCTGAACCGGCAGCGTCTCTGCAAAGAGCTGCGGAGCACTGATGGCGTGCCGGCCGGCGCGGTGGTCGTGCTGCAGGGGGGCGAGGCGACCACACGCTACTGCAGTGACGCCGAGCACGAGTTCAGACAGGTGCGCCCACCACCGCTCCGACGGCCGGCTGGCTGCGGCTGCGGCTGCGGTGGAGGCCGCGGCTGGCCCGGTGCATGTCCCTGGGGCACTCAGACTCCCTCAGGGCTTTGTGATAGGTTTGCATTGGCTTTGGGTTCGGGCACAGGAGAGCACCGTGCTATTGCTTGCAGATGCAGCGTGAACCACCCTGCTAACTCTCCTGTTTGAGGGGCTGTTTTCTTGCCACACTAGACGGGTCGGATGATCATGCTAGCCTAGAAATGATCCATGCCCGTTGCCGTGCGCTCTCCGGCTTTTGCGCGTCCCCACGTAATGGTCGCGATCAGACGGCCCTGTAAGTGCATTGACCAGTACGCGCAAAGACCACTGGTATGAGGAGTATTGGAGGTGACTGAGCGAATATCATACATATACCTCTATTTTGAATAAACGTGCTGTCATATGGCCGCCAGCTAAAATATGCAAAAATATGAAAAGATGTGCAAAAAATGTGCAAAAATAAGATGTGCGGAGGGATCTTTACGGAGGGACCTGAACATGGTATCGGTGGCGTTATCAGTATCAGTGGCTCGCCCTTTGATGGCTGGTATATGGACATATGTGCTGCTGTTTTTTCTCGTACTGGCCGCAACCATGGGTGCATCGGCGGCATTTCAACCTTTGATTATGCCGGCTTCTGGCGGCAGGCAGGTTTGAATGGAGCCTTTAAGAGAAATATTCCAGATGAGAGAGCACGTTTTCACATGATCCGTGGTGCCAAGCATTTGGCCTGCAGTTGTACCGAGTATTCTTAGCGCTGTCTCACTGGCGAATGATGCGATGCACCGGTAAATCACGAGACGCTGACCTCCGGTAGGATTTTTGAGGGAACGCGACGCAGCAGCTTGTGCTCAAGGCTGCTGGAGTATCGCTGGTACACAAACGCTGCGGACGTCGTCGTCATGCCGCCACCGCGTACACAGAGCGCCGCGCTCGCCGCTGGCTGCCGCGCCGAGCGCTGCGTCTGCCGCGCCGGGCGCTGACGTCTGTCCCCGCGCGCAGGAGTCATTCTTTCACTGGGCGTTCGGGGTCCTGGTACCGGACTGCTATGCCTGCATCGAGGTGGCCAGCGGGCGCACCACCGTCTTCTACCCGCGCCTGGACGAGGTGTACGCCACCTGGATGGGCCGCCTGCTCACCGCCGATGACGTCAGGGCTCAGTACGGCGTAGACGACGTCAAATACGTCGATGAGGTAGCTGCACGAGACGACCGCTTGTGCCGGCTTGTATGGCCCTCCCCCTACGACTAGAAGGGTGTGTCTTGGGATCTTTGGTATGCCTTCGCTTTTGCCGTTACTTTCGGTGGATTTTCAACCAACATAAAATTTTGCCTGTGACAAAAGATTATTTCTAAGTTACATACAAAGCTATAAGGTTTAGGTTTACGTGGATTAACAAAGATTATGCCAAACCATCCACTTGGGATCGTGCAGTCGACGTTTAGTCGGATGACGCGGTGGTGGCACTTTATTTCGTGCGGCCTGTGTTCCTGCGCATCAAGACTTGATGGGAGCACTGACCTCTGTGTTGCTGTGCTCCGCAGATAGCGAACGTCATCCAGGGAATGAAACCGGATGTGCTTCTTTTGCTGGTAAGGAGGTGATTAGGGGCGTATACGCTCACCCTCCTTGCGAGACTGGAGCGTTTTTCTGGCATGTTTTGCCTCTGTTCTTTCATCCGCAGCATGCTGTCCGAAGTGCACTGGTTTTTGTATTGTCCCACGCCGGGATTGGCGGTACGTATTGATCGAGTTGCTGTCCTGCAGTTGGGCTGCATACGGCCGCCCCGTCACTTGAACAGTTATCAGCTCATTGTGCTGCTCCATTCATCGCTGTTTCTGTGATCTTATTCCAGGAAGGCGTGAATTCGGACAGCAAGAAGACCACGCGACCTGCCGCGTTTGATGGCATGAGCAAGTAAGCGTTCTTACTCACAAAGGCAACAAGCGATCGGTATGTGGGCGGCATCTGACATACGCTCTCGGGATTGAAGCATCAAGTGGGTTGGTGTGCCCTGGTTGTTAACCGATGACCCAGTACACCGTATGACCCCGGACAACACCCTGAGCCATACCCCATTGGTACCGGGTGCTCCGTAAGTGCGCTATGGTTCTTTACATGCAGGCATGTCTCGTCGCTGTGCGTTCATGTAATGGGTTCGGCCTACAGGAGAGGGATTTTTAGTTCCATGCACATATGGTGCGATATATCCTCTTGCTTTTGTTGGACACTTTTTGTCAGCCACGTGCGATTTCTTCTGCAGTTTGTGTGCAAAGGTTTCCTAAGCATATGCGAATAGGAGGCTAGTATCGCTGTGGTGTGCCAGCGACCAAATACCAGCCTCTCAGTGCATGTTTTTGTTCAAAAAACAATTTTTCGTTAGCCCTAGTACTCTAGTACCTAGTACTGGTACTCTCGGGCACGTCGGATAAATTTAGCGCACACCTTATCTACTTAACGACTGCTAGGACACCTCACGAAGTTTTGTGCTACGGGCGCGTCATTTTCACACATGGCCCGTTGGACGACGGACGGCAACGCCGCATGACCGGGCGGTGTCGCCGTCCGTCTTGTGTCCGGCCCACTTGTGTCGTTGAGGCCGGCTCTCCTGCCGCCAGGTTCAAGACGGACTACGGCCTACTGTACCCGGTCATCTCGGAGCTGTGAGTGGCCTCTCGGTCGCGCCGATAGGCGGTGCAGGGAGTCACGCGCTCTGCACCGCGACAGATAGTGAGAGCGGCTATCTGGGGGCCGACTGTGGGTCTGGGCGGCCGGGGCGGCGTACCGACGGCTAGCGCGTTCATTTGGGCCTGGCACAGGCAGGGGGGGGGGGGGGGGTGTATGCGGGCTGCGTTTTCGTTTATCTGACCCTTGTGTTGTGAGATATGAGACGGCCCGCCCGCGCAGACCCAGACTGATGACCGGCTGATGTCCGGCTGCTCATGGCTGTCTGCGGTCTGGTGTCCTGGTGTTGTGAGATATGAGACGGCTCGCCCGCGCAGACTCAGACTGATGACCGGCTGATGTCCGGCTGCTGATGACTGACGGCAGTCTGGTGTGAGATATGAGACGGCTCGCCCGCGCAGATCAGACTTACGACCGGTTGATGTCTGGCTGCTGATGACTGACGGCGGTCTGGTGTCCTGGTGTATGAGACGGCTCGCCCGCGCAGACTCAGACTGATGACCGGCTGATGTCCGGCTGCTGATGACTGACGGCGGCCTGGCGTCCCTGGTGTCACATGCACTGATGCCTGATCTGGTGTTGCACGAACTGACGGCGGTCTGGTGTCCTGGTGTTACGCGCACTGATACCATATCTGGTGATCTGGTGTCACACGGACTGACGGCAGTCTGGTGACCAAATCCTCGGGAAAATTTTGGCACGGACGGCAGAGCACGCGCAGTGTTGGCCCTGAACCGCCAGCCTGCGCGTCGGCGTTTGAATCCCCTTGGCCTCGAACTACGCGGCCAGTTCCTGGCGCGAACGGACCAGCCCCCCCCCCCCCCCCCTCTCGTCGCGAACACCCGGTCACCTGCACTCGCTGACCGACCGGGCCGGCGCCGGGGTCCACAGCCGCGTGTTCAAGACGCCGCTGGAGGTGGAGGTGCTGCGGTACTCCAACAAGATCTCGTCAGGGGCGCACAAGGAGGTGATGCGTAAGATCCGGCCTGGCATGAAGGAGTATCAGCTGGAGGCTATCTTCAAGCAGTACAGCTACTACATGGTACGGACCCGGTGCGCTCGCGGCCGCCGCTGGGGACTGAGGCTCGCGGCCACCGCTGGGGACTGAGGCTCGCGGCCACCGCTGGGGACTGAGGCTCGCGGCCACCGCTGGAGACTGAGGCTCGCGGCCGGCGCTGGGGACTGAGGCTCGCGGCCGCCGCTGGGGACTGAGGCTCGCGGCCGCCGCTGGGGGACTGAGGCTCGCGGCCGCCGCTGGGGGCGGAGGCTCGCGGCCGCCGTTAGGGACTGAGGTTCGCGGCCGCTGCTGGAGACTGAGGTTCGCGGCCGCCGCTGGGGACTGAGGTTCGCGGCCGCCGCTGGGGACTGAGGCTCGCGGCCACCACTGGAGGACTAAGGTTCGCGGCCGCCGCTGGGGACTGAGGTTCGCGGCCGCCGCTGGGGACCGAGGTTCGCGGCCGCCGCTGGGGACCGAGGTTCGCGGCCGCCGCTGGGGACTGAGGTTCGCGGCCCCCGCTGGGGACTGAGGTTCGCGGCCGCCGCTGGGGACTGAGGTTCGCGGCCGCCGCTGGGGACTGAGGCTCGCGGCCGCCGCTGGTGCGCCGAGGCTCGCGGCCACTGATGGGTGGGGGGTGGGGGGGGAGGGGGCGGGGGGCCGAGGTGGGTGGACCGACTGATACGAAGACGGGTTTAGTTGGGCAATGGGCGAACAACCCCGCGTGTTGCGCAAAGACGGCACGAGCTCTATTGCGACAGCGGGTGTAAGCTCGCGGCCGTGATGAGTGATGCAATGTCCGACGGACCCTATCGCTGTCGGCAGATTACCTGATGCGGCTACTGGTGCTCCAAGGCGTGCCGTCTATTTCATGTGGGAATTGATACATGAAATAGACGACAGTTTACGTAGCCACGCCCGTCGACACAGCGTACAGATGCCGTGGGTCTCAGCTGTGTAAGGGCGTGCGGCGTTCGTTACAGGTGCGCGGGCCGTCACTGCGGCCAAGAACCTGCCCGCCTGTGTTTTATCCCGAGCCATAACGCCCGTTTGACGTGCAGTACCACCACGCCCGCAGTGTTGCCGACACTTGCCCGCAGTGTTCGCCAACACTTTCCCGCAGTGTTCGCCAACACTTGCCCGCAGTGTTCGCCAACGCTTGCCCGCAGTGTTCGCCGACACTTGCCTGCAGTGTTCGCCGACACTTGCCCGCAGTGTTCGCTGACACTTGCCCGCAGTGTTTGCCGACACTTGCCCGCAGTATTCACCGACACTTGCCCGCAGTGTTCGCCGACACCGTGTCGTTAACACGCGCTCGGCCATGTCCAGGGCGGCTGTCGTCATGTGGCGTACACGTGCATCTGCGGCAGCGGGGAGAACGGGGCCGTGCTGCACTACGGCCACGCGGGCGCGCCCAACGACAAGACGGTGCGTGACGGCGATATGTGGTACGTGATGCCGGCTGTGCCTCTCCCGCCATGGCTACCGCCAGGGTCACGGGGCGCCGCCCGTACCTCGCCCCGGGGTCACGGACACCGCTCCTCCCGTGGGTGTTCGTCATGTGGTTTTGGCGTGCTCACGTGTGCCGCCGCGGTCCTTGTGGGGACCAGGGCTCGGGGCAGAACAGGAGACGTGCTCGGCCTGCATACGAGTCAGCTGCTAAATATTCCATCGCCGATGAGGCACACTGATGGCGCAATGTCGCGTTTGCAGTTGATTTCAGTGTGAATGCTGCCTTTGCCTTGTGTCGTGAATTAGCCTGTTAGGCAGGGGGTGCAGACACGCGCCGAGACAAAGGCCTTGTATTCTACGAAAGCAATTGGGCATGCGTGGTGGTCGGTGATTGTAGCCGCCGTTCGTTCTACCGAAGTGGCCGGCAAATTGCAACGACCGAGGTTCCACCTTTTCCGTCCTGTCCCGGATGACGTGAAGCTCCGTTTGAGGGCGACGCCGCTGCACGTCGCTGCTGTTGACACGGTGGGTCTGACCGCCTCTTGCGCGCGGCCACAGCCTGTTCGACATGGGAGCCGAGTACTACTGCTACACGTCAGACATCACCTGCTCCTTCCCGTCTAACGGCAAGTTCACCGACAAGCAGAAGGTCATCTACAACGCCGTACTGAAGGCCAGCAGGGCCGTCATGGACGCGCTGAAGCCAGGTGGGTGTGTCCCGAGCTGGATCGGGACCGTCGTGGACGCATGGAAGCCAGGTGGGTGTGCCGTGCTCGATGTACTCCTCGGAGCCGTGCCCCTGGGTGCAGTGCGTCAACCGATTTAGCTGAGCAGTTGCAGTGAACTCTTATCGTCAGATAGCGTCAGCTCACGTCTATGAATGTCGTGTCGTTGGATAGGGTGTTATGATCTGTCGCGGGTCGCGGGGTTGGTGTTTTGTCGCCTTAGATGTAGTTGGCGCGGGGGATTGTACGACGACGGACCATTGGTGTTAAATACATTTTAACATAACTCCAAAACTATTGTAAACTAGGGTGGGTGAAACCACGCTGAGTGGGTTGTATTGTCCAGCCTGGGTCAGGTGCGGTGTTATGCTCTGACTACTTGCTTTTGTTATCACTTAAGTGAGTTCAGCAGTGTCCACCTTCAGTGCGCCAGATCTCCCGCTTATTCTCGGCACTGCTCAGAAACGCCAGTGTGGCAGCTGCTTTTTGTACAGCTGTGGGCGGCTGTGCAGCGACCAGTCGCCGCCGTGCTTAGCGACAAAAGAATAGTCTCGCGGTTGGACTTTCGATATCTCGAGCGCGCCTCTCACGGGACCGCGCCGTTGCCAAGCAACCGACAGTCAGCTGACGGTCGGCGCACGAGGGCGTCTGCTCTGCCTGTCGGTCGGGTGACCCCTGACGCCCCGCCCCCGCCCCCCGCTCCAGGTATCTGCTGGGTGGACATGCACCTGCTGGCCAACCGCGTGACGCTGGAGGAGCTGAAGGCGGCCGGCATCCTCCGCGGCAGCGTCGACGACATGATGAAGGTCGGGAAGGCGAGAGGAGCCAGTCTAGAGACGCGGTGTCTGTGGGGGGGGGGGGGGGGGCTGTGAGCGGGCGACACATGCTGGAAGGGGCACGTGACTGTGGCCGAGGTCTGGCAGCGGTACAGGTGGACCGCCATCAGACGGTCTGTTGCGGGTTCACGTTCTCTGCCGTGACCTGAGTAGTGTGTGCTTCGACAGTGTGAGCACTCTGGGACACCAATGTGTAGCTGCTATTGGTTACCAGTGTGGAGGTGCTGTGGGTACCAGTGAATATCTGCTATTGGTTGCCAGTGCGGAGGTGCTGTGGGGTACCAGTGAATATCTGCTATTGGTTGTCAGTGCGGATGTGCTGTGGGGTGCCAGTGAGTATCTGCTATTGGTTGCCAGTGTGGAGGTGCTGTGGGGACACAATATCTGCTATTGGTTGCCAGTGCGGAGGTGATGTGGGGTGCCAGTGAGTATCTGCTATTGGTTGCCAGTGCGGAGGTGCTGTGGGGTACCAGTGAATATCTGCTATTGGTTGCCAGTGCGGAGATGCTGTGGGGTACCAGTGAGTATCTGCTATCGGTTGCCAGTGCGGAGGTGCTGTGGGGTACCAGTGAATATCTGCTATTGGTTGCCAGTGCAGAGGTGCTGTGGGTTACCAGTGAATATCTGCTATTGGTTGCCAGTGCGGAGATGCTGTGGGGTACTAGTGAGTATCTGCTATTGGTTGCCAGTGCGGAGGTGCTGTGGGGTACCAGTGAGTATCTGCTATTGGTTGCCAGTGCGGAGGTGCTGTGGGCTACCAGTGAATATCTGCTATTGGTTGCCAGTGCAGAGGTGCTGTGGGGTACCAGTGAATATCTGCTATTGGTTGCCAGTGCGGAGGTGCTGTGGGGTACCAGTGATATCTGCTATGGTTGCCAGTGCGGAGTGCTGTGGGGTACCAGTGAGTATCTGCTATTGGTTGCCAGTGCGGAGGTGCTGTGGGGTACCAGTGAGTATCTGCTATTGGTTGCCAGTGCAGGTGCTGTGGGGTACCAGTGAGTATCTGCTATTGGTTGCCAGTGCGGAGGTGCTGTGGGGTACCAGTGAGTATCTGCTATTGGTTGCCAGTGTCCAGGTGCTGTGGGGTACCAGTGAGTATCTGCTATTGGTTGCCAGTGTCCAGGTGCTGTGGGGTACCAGTGAGTATCTGCTATTGGTTGCCAGTGTCCAGGTGCTGTGGGGTACCAGTGAGTATCTGCTATTGGTTGCCAGTGTCCAGGTGCTGTGGGGGTACCAGTGAGTATCTGCTATTGGTTGCCAGTGTCCAGGTGCTGTGGGGTACCAGTGAGTATCTGCTATTGGTTGCCAGTGTCCAGGTGCTGTGGGGTACCAGTGAGTATCTGCTATTGGTTGCCAGTGTCCAGGTGCTGTGGGGTACCAGTGAGTATCTCCTATTGGTTGCCAGTGTCCAGGTGCTGGGGGTACCAGTGAGTATCTGCTATTGGTTGCCAGTGTCCAGGTGCTGTGGGGTACCAGTGAGTATCTCCTATTGGTTGCCAGTGTCCAGGTGCTGTGGGGTACCAGTGAGTATCTGCTATTGGTTGCCAGTGTCCAGGTGCTGTGGGGTACCAGTGAGTATCTGCTATTGGTTGCCAGTGTCCAGGTGCTGTGGGGTACCAGTGAGTATCTCCTATTGGTTGCCAGTGTCCAGGTGCTGTGGGGTACCAGTGAGTATCTGCTATTGGTTGCCAGTGTCCAGGTGCTGTGGGGTACCAGTGAGTATCTGCTATTGGTTGCCAGTGTCCAGGTGCTGTGGGTACCAGTGAGTATCTGCTATTGGTTGTGTGCCAGTGTCCAGGTGCTGTGGGGTACCAGTGAGTATCTGCTATTGGTTGCCAGTGTCCAGGTGCTGTGGGGTACCAGTGAGTATCTGCTATTGGTTGCCAGTGTCCAGGTGCTGTGGGGTACCAGTGAGTATCTGCTATTGGTTGCCAGTGTCCAGGTGCTGTGGGGGTACCAGTGAGTATCTGCTATTGGTTGCCAGTGTCCAGGTGCTGTGGGGTACCAGTGAGTATCTGCTATTGGTTGCCAGTGTCCAGGTGCTGTGGGGGTACCAGTGAGTATCTGCCTATTGGTTGCCAGTGTCCAGGTGCTGTGGGGTACCAGTGAGTATCTCCTATTGGTTGCCAGTGTCCAGGTGCTGTGGGGTACCAGTGAGTATCTGCTATTGGTTGCCAGTGTCCAGGTGCTGTGGGGTACCAGTGAGTATCTCCTATTGGTTGCCAGTGTCCAGGTGCTGTGGGGTACCAGTGAGTATCTGCTATTGGTTGCCAGTGTCCAGGTGCTGTGGGGTACCAGTGAGTATCGGCTATTGGTTGCCAGTGGTCCAGGTGCTGTGGGGTAACAGTGAGTATCCTCCTATTGGTGTGTCCAGTGTCCAGGTTGCCTGTGGGGTACCAGTGAGTATCGGTACAGGTGCTGTGGGGTACCAGTGAGTATCTCCTATGGTTGCAGTGTCCAGGTTGTGGCGGTCAGTGGTACCAGTGAGTATCTGCTATTGGTTGCCAGTGTCCAGGTGCTGTGGGGTACCAGTGAGTATCTGCTATTGTTTGACAGTGTCCAGTGCTGTGGGGTACCAGTGAGTATCTGTCTATTGGTTGCCAGTGTCCAGGTGCTGTGGGGTACAGTGAGTGATCTGCTATGGTGCAGTGTCCAGGTGCTGTGGGGTCCCAGTGGTATCTCCTATTGGTTGCCAGTGTCCAGGTGCTGTGGGGTAAGTGGTATCTGCAGTGAGTATGCTGTGGGTACCATAGTTCTCTATGGTTGCCAGTGTGGTGCTGTGGGGGTACCAGTGAGTATCTGCTATTGGTTGCCAGTGTCCATGGTGCTTGTGGGTGTACCAGTGAGTATCTGCTATTGGTGTTGCCATTTGTGTCCAGGTGCTGTGGGGTACCAGTGAGTATCTCCTATTGGTTTGCCAGTGTCCCAGGTGCTGTGGGGGGTACCAGTGAGTATCTGCTATGGGTGCCAGTGTCCCAGGTGCTGTGAGGGGGTGTGGGTACCAGTGAGTATCTTCCTATTGGCTTGCAGTGTCCAGTTCTTTGGGTACCAGTGGTATCTGCTATTGTTGCAAGTGTCCAGGTCTGTTGGTACCAGTGTAGTTCTCACTATTGGTTTGCCTTGTACAGGTGCTGTGGGTATCAATTGAGTATCTCCCTATTGGTTGCCAGTGTCAGGTGGCTGTGGGGTACCGTGAGTATCTCCTATTGGTTGCCATTGTCCAGGTGCTGTGGGGTACCAGTGAGTATCTGCTATTGGGTTGCCAGTGTCCGGTTCTGTGGGGTACAATGATTACCCTATTGGGTGCCAGTGTCCAGGTGCTGTGGGGTACCAGTGAGTATCTCCTATTGGTTGCCAGTGTCCAGGTGCTGTGGGGTACCAGTGAGTATCTCCTATTGGTTGCCAGTGTCCAGGTGCTGTGGGGGTACCAGTGCAGAGCTGCTATGTGGAACCGTCGTGCAGTTATTGTGGGCTTGTAGCTTGTGGCTGCTGTTATTTCGTTACTTTGTGGCTGTGGTTGATTACCAGTATGCACGCTCTCGTTACTTTGTGGCTGTGGTTGATTACCAGTATGCACGCTCTCTGTCTAACCGCTGCGTCTGTTGCGCCTGACTAGCGCGTGCAGCGCCTCACTGTCTCCTCTCCTCCCCCCCCCCCCCTCCCCCTCCCGAGCAGGCGAACCTGGGCGCCACATTCCAGCCGCACGGACTGGGCCACTTCCTCGGTTGTGACGTGCACGACGTGGGCGGCTACCTGCGCGGCCAGCCGGAGCGGCGCTCCGAGGCGGGCCTGCGGAACCTGCGCACGGCGCGTACCATCCGGGCCGGCATGGTGCTCACCATCGAGCCCGGCTGCTACTTTATCGACCACGTGAGGAGTGGCGGGAGGGGCTGGGCAGTGGAGGTAGTAGTCGGGCGTCACGGTGGGCAGTGCAGTGTTCGTTTTCGCGTCGCAGTTATCGGCGCTGCCACTATCGAGTGGCGATTGCTTTTTGGTTTCGTTTGGGTTAGAGCCTGTTTAGGCGGGTAGTGACCCCTTCAGGTCTATGGGATGAAGGACAGTATTTCATGCGCCTGGGGTTCTCCGCCGGGACTTGGCCCTCACAGGGACCCCAGTGCGGAGTACGTGGTCAGCGTTCGGACGGGGCCCCACCAGGGTGCGCCTCAGCCCACTCGTGGCCGGCGTATGTAGCTTGAACCAGATGAACGGGCGTCTCGAGAATGCAGAATGTAGTGAGAATGGCGAGAGAGGGCAGGTGAAAGTAAAAGGGTGTATGCAGATGTAGCTGAGTGGAGCATCCCAACAATGAGGTTATGAGAAATGAAAGGTCAAGGGTTGAATGAGGTGGCGTACATCAGTTGGGAACGGAAATGTCATGAACCTGGATGGTATGCCAGCTGCTCACCCCATTCATTGCGAACTTAACGCGTTCGTGTTGCCCCTATCATCCTACGAGAAGTGTTACATCATAGCCCGCTGTCGACTGATCGCCCTGCCATCTGCCGGCCAGCTGCTGAACCAGGCGGAGTCGGACCCGGTGCTGAGCCAATTTCTGGTGCCGGAGATGGTACGTCAGTACCGCGGCTTCGGCGGCGTGCGCATTGAGGACGACGTGGTCGTCACCCAAGACGGCATGGAGTGTCTGACCGTCGTGCCGCGCACGTAAGGCTCTGCCTCTCCCCCCGCCCACCCTCTCTCCTCACTCTCCACGCGAGCTGGGGTGAGCCGGACGACTCAGACGTTCGGTGCCGTACTAGTATTGGTTGCGGGGCGAGCGGCGGTGTGACCACCTGGGTAGGCAGCCCCCGCCCACCGCCGGGAGGGGGTTTCGGCGCGCCTGTCGGTGTGTGCATTTTGTCGGAGAACCGACGCGATGTGCGTCATGTGCGTGGTGAGTAGCGTCTGTATTGCCGTACGAGGTGCCCGATCGTTGTGAGCCGGGCGGAGAGGTGGCGACATGTGAAGAGTGCGGCGCCCAGCCAGCGTCTGCGCGTGTTTTGGGTGGGGTGTTTTGGACTGTGCTGCCACCTTCTGTTCACTTACTGCGGCTTCTGTTTGGGAATGGGAGGGTGCATTCGTGCTATGTGCATGGAACAAGCTTAACCCAGCGCTCTTGGGCTTGCCATTTGTGGCTCCAGTCAGCCAACCTGGCTGCGGTTGCGAAACTGAAGCGGGAATTGGAAATTTATTCACTTGGTTTGCGTGGTGGGTTTCATAGCTCGGGGTTAACTTTGTCTAACCGACGCACCTTATGCATAAATGTTTCAAAATCAGGCAATCAAATAAAGTCGTCTTTTTTCTGCTCGCATGCGTGCGGGATGAATTTTATAATTGCGTATTTGTGAGACAGGGCCTTGGTTGTCTGTTTATCGTCAGATAGTTCTCAGTGGAATGGTTTTATTGAGCCAGGTCTTACTCCATCAGGTGACTGATCTGTTTGACGTGTGTGTGGTCCGTGACTGACCGAGTGGCCCTGCGCCGGCAGTGTGGAGGAGGTGGAGGCCCTGATGGCCGAGGGACGGCGCCAGGAGGTGTTTGTACCTCAGCTTCACGCCGAGACCAAGCTGAACCAGTAGTCGGCCCAGCGCCCCTGCTGACCGAGAGCCCAGCTCGACCTAGCCCCAGCTCTATTGGGGCTGATCATGGCTCGCTACGGGTCGTTTCTAGCCGTGTGCCATCAACCGCGCCATAATTCGTAATCGCTGGTGTTGGTGTCGCTGTTGCATCGGTGCTTGGGAATGCGGGATGCGGTATTTTATGTATATACATATATGCTGAACTATTTTCTTAAATTTTGGTATGCGTACGTCTCAGACCTGCTGAGTGATGGAAGCGTCACGTTTTGGAGCCTCAAATCGTGCATAAGGCGGACGCATCATTTAACGAACGCGATGATGTCTGAATTGCAAGAGAGCAATTTATGGCAAGTTTATCCTGTCGCCTGAAGCCTATAGCTTGAAAAGTTGTTGCCAGTATGCGATTTTGTGATGCCAATTAGGATATTATACACGTTACCTAATAATGTTCTGAATAACAAAACGCACATGTGAATAAAAAGTTGGCTGGTGCACCTGTTCTTCCATTTCTTTTTGACAAAGGATTCAGTCGGCTAAAGATGGTTCCTGTTGGACATGAACCGTCGGTCAACTACGGAACTAGATATATTGGAAAATGGCTGTTTTTTTGGGCATGGGTAAGGCCGGGATTAGGCCACATCTGGGTCGCCATGAGGAATGCAGTGGCTGGCTTGGAGCTGCAAAAAATATCCCTGAAAAGAGAATCTCGTGGACGCCGGTGTGCTGAAGATGTTGGTCCGTGGACTGTAAAGGTGTAAGCCACAGCTGCAGTATACGTTTGGGCTCAATGCATTTCATCTCGGTTCCTATCCGGCTTCAGTTAAGTATACCAATATATGAAACACAGTCATAGGAATTTAAAAAGTCTCCGTGTGTAGAAATCCGAGCCTGACAGGAACTTTCTTAAACGTGTATTTCAAGCTTCATCCACCGTTGGATGCCATACGGCGGTACGTTTTGATAATTAAACCTGTGCCGTGAAACAAACAGCTTCAGTGTGCTACCGATCACATTGTTGCAGCACGAGCTGCCTGCACCTATTGGGTTGGATTGGGATGGGCTGTATGAGAGCTATGTTTCGGTTGGTTTAGGTTGCCTATGGCGGGGTTGAATTTGTCCGAGCATGGGCTAATGATATCGGGTTGAGCTGCACATCTGTCACTAAAACTTCGTGAAGGCTATTATCACGTAAGTTCATTTCTATAAGTGTTCCAGTGCTGAGCTGCGGAAATCTCCGTAGGAGCTTCGGCTAAGTTGGCACTTGGTTGGTGTCGTGGTTGCAGGGCATGTCGGCTTACAGGAATATGATGCGTCCATAACTCATACATCTACCAATCATCCGATAAAACGCATGCATTCGTGTCCGTTTCTAGATTACCCTAGCACTCCGAGCCACATAAGTCATTCAAAAATAGGTCAACGACTTATTCGGCTGGCCGGACCCCGGCGGCGAATACGCGTTGCAGCAGCCCGTGCATGACCAAGTTGCCTACTGTGTTTCGTCTCCGTGCAGAAGTGCCGTCGATGTGGGAACCACCTACGCCCTGGCCGTCTGGCCGATGCCCGTCCCTCTCGGAACGCATCACAGCCGTCTCTGCAGTGGCGGCGCGGCAGTGCCTCTGCGCACGCGAGGCTCCGCTTCCTGCTAGAGACGGCGCAGGACGCCTCGCGCGCTTGGGGACACTGCTGACGACCCTGGCGGCGGCGGCGGCGGCTGGCTGCTGGCGCCGCCGGAGCCGGCTGCAGGATCACCGCTGCTGCCGCTGGCGGCGGCGGCGGCGGCGGCGGCAGCGGTGGCGGTGGCGGCGGTAGCGGCGGTGACCGGCTGCCCGCACCGCCGGAGCCGGCTGCAGGATCGCTACTTCTTCACGCTGGCGAGCCTTCTGACGCGCACGCTTGACGCAGTGGGTCAGCTCTGCATCGGACTGTAGGCTAACGCGCCACTGGCGGCGCTGGACCTGTCCAAGGTGGACACGGTCGTGCGGGGCCAGCTGGTCGGACCGCGCTGGAGCCTGGCCTGGACTACTCTGCAGTGGGAGGGGCCATGCGGGTGGCGGTGGAGCAATGGCGCGCCGTTCGCAGCGTTCCGGCTGTGGGAGAGAGCGGGCCCGGCGCCGGACGGCGACTGTGTGGCCCTCGACTGCGCCGGCATGGGGAGGAGCCTAGCATGCAGCGGCGCCGCAGCCCCGTCACAAGTGCGCCGGTCATGAGCTGCAGAGGTAGCTTCAGCCGCTCGCCTGCCCGCCTGGCCATCTGCTGACTGCGCTGAGATAGCTGGGGGGGGGGGGGGGGGGTGAGCCCACGGTGGCGATCCCACCGCCCGGACCGCCGCTGTTCCCCGCCGTAGCGAGTCCGAGTCCGAGTCCGAGTCCGAGTCGGAGTCCACTTCGCGGCGAGTGCTCTCCGAGCGCCGCTGCCAGTCTCGTCGCCATGCGGTCGTCTGGCATGCCGTCGCCGTCGCCGCAGCTGCTGCTGCTGCCCCCCACCCTCCGCGCGCCGTACGCCGCTGGTGGCGGAGGGTTGCCCGCAGTTTGGCCATGTGCTGGACGGCGTCTGCTACCAAATTCTAAGTCCTCAATCCTCCACACATCAGTGCTCATCACTGACTGGGCGGTTGCCGACGAGTTCTGAGGAAGTCAAGGTAACCCGCCCCTAGAGCCTAAGTCGTCGGAGTTACACACTTAGTAAACTCAGGAATCAGTGGAAGTGGAGGGTACAAGGGTCTGTCGTCGCTCGTGCGGCACAGCCCGCCGTGACCGGACATCGACGACGATCGGGGTTCATGGTGCTGGTTTGATGCTGAGATCGGGGCTTTGGGAGACCAGTGGATAACCGGCGCTTCATCGGTCTTAGAGACTCCTACTGGGGTATGCTGATAACACAGAACCAGTCTCGCTCTCTCGCCCGTCTTGGGACACGAACATGAAGCATACCATGCAAGTTTAGTGAATCGTTCACAGATTGCACAGCGCACAGGCCATAGAATCGTTGGTTTGCCCGTTTGTGTCCAGTACACATAAACACCCTGTTACAAGCAGTTGACAAGCGATGCCGGATAAGCTACCCGCACTTCGTTGCCTAACCTTCAAGCATGTTACACAATATTAGCAACATTAGCCAACATAGTGCATTTCGCCCATTGCTTACAGCGCATTATTCGGCAACACCTTGATCTGCCGAACTCGTCCAATATAAATGGTCCATTGGTCATTTGTACTTGAAAGAGACTAAGCGCCATGTGACGCTAAAGCTGTTTTCCCAGCCTCCACAAACCGGTTAAATCCAGACCGCACCGGTACATATCACGCCTTCTTCAGGCACTGTGGCGTTCTCTTATCACCCATCGAGTTGTGGTGGTAGGCGCAGTGTTTGACCAGAAACTTGCTTGCGTAGAAGCGCGCCGGACACAGACCGCAGCTGTACTTGGGCCGCATCTGCACGCGCACGTGCCGGTCGTGCGCGTGTCCCACGAGCATGCTGTGCTCAGGAAAGCGTGCCTTACACAGGTTGCACGCGTAGACGGCGGAGGCGGCCGGCGGCGCCTCGCTCGGAGGAGGGCTGGGAAAGGCCGGTGGCGGCGAGGGCGGCCGTCGCCGACTTCCGCAGCTCAGCAACCACGAGAGTTGACGGCGACGCGGCTTGTTCCGCACCGAGGAGTGGAGCGGCAGCGGCGCGCGCCGCGACAGCAAGAAGCCACCCTCGGCACCGTCGGTGAGGTCGGCGGACGCTGGCGCGGCCGGCGCACGCCTCCGGCCAGCAGTCCGAGTCCGTATCCGAGTCCGAGTCGTCCGAGTCGGTGGCCGTGCTGACCAGTACGAGCGGGTCGAGCGGCGGCGGCAGCTGACTGAAGGACAGCTGTCGCCGCGGCGGGTGGCGCACGAACTGCGCCGTGCCGCACGCCTGCGCCGGCGGCCGCCGATGCGCGCTGCCAAGCTCCGCCTCTAGCCGGCTCAGCGCTGAGACGACGCGGCTAAAACGCTCGGCGTTTGCTACCGGCCGGCTGTCGTCACTGCTCTCGCCCACGGACCGTCCGCCCTCTCCTCCCGCACCCACGCGCGGCTGCGTCCCCGGCGATGACACCTCAGGGCTGGAGGAGGCCGTCCGCCAGCCTGGCGCCACCGGGCGGCCTGGCCGGTCCCGGCACACCTGCTGACCGCCGCCGCCGCTGCGAAGGATCCCCGGCCGTGGCGCGCCCGCCGCCACCTGGCGGCGAGACGGCGAGTCGGGTGGGATGAGCTCGTGCGCAGCGGCGAAGCGCAACGTCTTGGGCGAGGCCGGCTGCCGGTGCGCCAGCGTTGGCGTGCTGGCCGCCGGCGGGCAGAAGGCGGCGCGCGCGCGCAGCGGCGTCACCGGCCGGTGCTCGGCCGAGTGCGCCACGCTGCCGCGCAGCAGGTCCGGCCGCGGCAGCTTGGCCGGGGACGACAGTCGGCCGCCGGCCCGCTGCCAGCCGGAGTCGCCCGCCGCCGCGACCGGGACTGCGCCGGCCTCGGCCCCGACGCGCTCCACCGTCGCCGCCACCTGGCGGAGCCTCCCGGGGTGGCTCCTCGCTGCCGTACGCCCCAGCAGGCGGCGCAGCAGTGAGGCGGACGGGATGTCGTTTTCCGTCCCGTAACCGCCGTCGAACGGCACGGTGATCACCTGACCATTGACTGGAAGAGCGGTGACCACGCTCCCATTGACTGCGTGGCGGCTAGCAGTGCTCCCATTGACTCCTTGACCGTTGCCTGCGTGGCCATTGGCATCGTGACCGGCGACTCCATGACTGATGACCCCGTGACCGGTGACTCCGTGACCGGTGACGCTGTGACCGGTGACGCCGTGGCCGGTGATCCCGGAGCTGGTGACGCCGAAGCTGGTGACGCCGCAGCTGGTGATGCCGTGACCGTTGATTTCGCGGCTGACATTTTCGCTGCCGGGCGGCGACGCGCTCTCGGTGCTGTAACCGGACGAGCTCTTCTTGTCGGCCGGCTCCGCGGCCGGCTCATCCGGCTCCGGGTCCGGACAGCGCACGTACAGACCGCACCACGTGCCCAGCTGCTGCTCCATCGAGCTCAGCTGGTGGATGTCCGCCGTCAGCTGATCCATGCATTGCGACAGGTTGATGCGCTGCAGATCGCGTATCAGGCCATCCACGTCCCGCGGGGGCCCCGTCGTGGTGGCGGCATTGGCGTGCCGCCTGAGCCGCACTGTGCTGGCATCTAGCGACTGCTGGGCCAATCACAGGTTGCGGATCTACTCGAGCATCTGTGGGGAGAAAGCAGTTAGTTTTCAGCGGTGCCAAATTCGCCGCGTTTGCTTAAGCAGTCCTCAGGTTGCGGGCGAGAGAACCATTTTCTGTAAAGCTAGTGTGTTTTCAGCAACATGACCCAAACAAAAGCTGGGCGCTCAGTCGATCCCATCTCCATGACGTGATGTGCATCACCAGAGATGCCAGGCGGAAGTAAGTCCATATTTGGGTACGTAAGCTGTCGGCGAAGCCTCTCAGTGCGCGTGACAACTGAGTTGG